TTTGGGGGTCCCGGGGGCGGGGCCGTTTTTTGGGTTCCGTGACGTCATCGGCGCGGCGGCGGTGACGTCACGGGCGCGCCCGGTGACAGCGCCCCCTAGTGGGGGGACCGGGGGGGACAAAAAGTGACAAAAAAAGAGACAAAAAGTGACAAAAAGGGACCAAAAGTGACCGAAAGGGACCGAAAGGGACCAAAAGGGACCGCAGGTAACATGAAAATGGCGATAAATGACTGTAAAGCGACAATACATGACAATAAATAAGTGGCAATAAATGACAATTAATTATATTCATTGCTGGTAATTGCCATTAATTAATGTTAATTGTGCCCGCAGTGGCTGCGGCTGGCGCTGGCGCTGTCAGGGACACTCAGGGTGACAATGAATGACATTAAATGACAATAAATGGCAATAAATAAAAATAAATGGCAATAAATAAAAATAAATGGCAATAAATGAAAATAAATGACATTAAATGACAATAAATGATAATAAATGGCGCCATAGTGATAATAAGTGACATTAAATGGCAATAAATTACAATAAATGACATTAAATTACAATAAGTGGCAATAAATAGCACTATAGTGACAATAAACGGCAATAATTGACAGTAAATGGCAATAATTGACATTAATTGACAATAAATGACATTGACGCTAAATGACGTTCTCTCTGCCGCCCCCCAGTGGCTGCTGCGGGCACTGCCGGGGACTCTCGGGGTGACAATAAAGGACAATAAACGACAATAAACGACAATAAACGACAACAAACGACAACAAACGACAGTAAAGGACAGTAAATTCCATGCGTTGCTGTTAATTGCCGCTAATTGCCGCTAATTGCCGCTCATTGCGCCCGCAGTGGCTGCTGCTGGCGCTGGCGCTGGCGCTGCCCCCCGAGCGCCCCCAGGCGGGGGAGCCCCGCAAGGTCCAGATCGGGGTGAGGCGGCGGCCGGAGCGCTGCGGGGAGAGATCGCGGCGGGGAGACGTGCTCACCCTGCACTACTCGGTATGGTTATACTGGTTATACTGGTTATACTGGTTACACTGGGAGCGGGGAGACGTGCTCACCCTGCACTACTCGGT